GGGTTAAGTGATTTGCCCAGGGTCACAGAGCTAGGAAGTATCTGAGGCTGAATTTGAACTCAGGTCTTCCTCAGGACCAGCGCTCTACCCCTTAACCTCCAGACTTATATCTATAACTGACTATTAGACATCTCAAACTGGATATCCAGTTGACATCTTAAATTCAGTATGTCCAAAAGTGAACTAATTTTCTTTTCCCCCAACCTCTACCCCACCTCATACTTCCCCATTACTGTTAAGGGCATTTATCATCCATCCAGGTTTGAAACCTAGGAGTCATCCTCAACTCTTCACCCTCTTTCACCTCCCATATCCAATCTATTATTAAGTCCTATCAATTTTTCCTTCATAACAACTCTTCTATACATCCTCTTCTCTCCTCTGAGACTGCCACCACCCTACCACAGGCCCTTATCACCTCACAACAACCTTGCAAGGTATGTGCTTTTATTATTCCCATCTTACAGTTGAGGAAACTGAGGCAAACAGAGGTTAAGTGACTTGCCCAAAGTAACACAGCTAATAAGTAAAATGTCTGAGGCTAGATTTGAACTCAAGTCTTCCTAACTCCAGACCCACTTTGCCACCAGTTACCTGTATAAGGGAATAAGACATTATAGACTACTGGAAAAAGTATAAAAGGATGGGAAGAGGGCATTTAATAGCAGATAAAGATTAAAATTTACAAATTATAAACATTATTATGGGTTAAACTAACGTGACCTTGGGCAAGTCACTAAGATTCCATAGGCATCAGTTTCCTACCTGTAAAATGAAAAGATTGGACTAGATGCCCTCTAAGGTCCCCTCAGCTCTAGATCTATGATCCCATAATTCAAAGGACCAACTGCAAGAAAACAGACCTCGTCCTTCTCTCCCTTCCTCCTTGTGACTGACTATTTTTTGTCAAGTTCTATTCTTGATGCTGGTTAGATCAGTTCTAGCCTTCTTGCTGACAAATATCATTGGAAAAACTAGTGAATAGTTGTTGTTTTTTTTTAATCTGTCTATAAGCCCCAAGGATGAAAAACTTGGGAGGAAATAGTCTCCCAATGCTTAGTCTTATCCTTATCAGCTTTGGTTCTCCAAAACATATTGATATTTGCCTCACCTAGATTCACTGACTTTGGATTTGGAGAGCCCCTTCTCCCTTTTATTTTTCCTAGCTCCCATCTGAAAAAGACTCTTTCCTATCTGGCTTCCCAAGCTATGTGTAGCTTTGGGCTCCATGCTTTCCTCACCAACCTTGGAGTCTCAGTTCTCGAACTCTGCAAGTGCCCTCTTTGCTGCTGCCTTTAATGCATCTTGGTAACGCCTCATTTGTCTGCATAGACCAAATTCTCCTAGCCATGTTGCAGTGGCTGGTTTTGGCCCTAAGTTGTTTCTTCTACCTTATTCCAGAAGAGATCTGGAATCATAAGCTTAACCTTCCCAGAATCACAGAGTTGAGAGGAATCTGAGAGGCAATCAAGTCCAATCTGTGCCTCAACAAGAGGCATCATCAAGTATTGACCCAGCCTTTACTTGAAAACCTCTAATAAGCAGTAGTAACCCAATACCTCCCAAGACAGTGTGTGCCAGTTTTGAGTCACTATAATAATGAGGAAATTTCTGCTCATATAAAACCTACATTTGCATGTCTGCAACTTCCATCGATTGTTCATAGTTCTGCCTTCTAGGACCAAGCAGAACATACCTAATCTGTCTCCTGCATGATAGCCTTTCAGATGAAGACAGTGGTGGTATCAAATTCATTCTCTTCTTCCCTCCCCAAATCTTCTCTCCAAACTAAGCATCCTAAGGTTCTCCAGCTGATGTGCACAGGTCATAATCCCAAGTCTCTTCATCGTTCTTTCATGATCTTTGAACCTCTGCCCTCCTTGATTCACTCAGCATGGGCCTTCCTACTAGACTAATTTTCTACCGTATTGTTCAACCTATTGGCTTGCCCATAGTTTTTCTCTCATTAACTGAGCTAAGGTTTAGGTCATCTCCCAGGACCAGTGAGCAGTGATATCCATATTTCTTTCCTCCATATTTCTCCAAGCCTATCCCAAGGCTGTGAGTTCGGGCCACTCCCCCAAGGAGTAGAATTTCAAGTTTTAGAGAAATTAAAACCAAAGTTTTGTACATGCAATACATAACAACATTATATTCCGCATACTCCAAATAACTGGCCAAAGACATATCAACTGTTTTCTGCATCATTAGTATCTCTTGTTGAAAATTATAATTTAGCAAATGTATTTATAAAAGAGATTCCTACTTTGAATGGAAAGTTAAAATAAATGACTTCTAATTCTGTTCTGCTGCTAAGATTTAGTGAAAGTTTTTTTAATAGATCCAATTCTTCTTTCAACTTCAACATATTATTTTTCAGTATCCCTATAAAAGATAGTATTTTGAATTTTCAAAGACTATAAGCAATTAGCTTATTATAGATACAGTATGATTCCTACAACACCCTTCCCACTTCTCACTTTAACGGAAACCTAGTTTTCCCCTTGAAAATACCACATCCCTAGAAACCCTTTCCACAGAAAGTCACTAGTTCCCCACATCCCTCAACTTATAAGGCCAGAAGAGGTATTGATATAACTCTGCTCCCTGCCTGTGCTCTGCTACTGTCCTTCAGTAGTTTTCCTTCTTCAAAATCCATTGCATGTGATTATGCAGTCTCACAGACCTTATTATTGTCCTTTACCTGATGCATCCCAGCTTTTCCAGTGACTTCAGCACCTAGTTCACAGTTGCCCTATAACCTGCTTTCCATTTCCTGCTATCCTCCTCAAAAGCTTCGTTACTCATGTTTACCTATCAAAAATTCTAATTCCTCACCTTCTTCATCTCTAGTGTCTCCCCTTTTTCTCCACTTCTGCATATATAATGTTTCACATTAGATCTTACCATCTCATAGAACTGAACTGTCTCCAAGATCCTGAACTTTTAAATTTCAGTTTACAAATACAACTTATTCTCATTCCACCTCAACCTTTGATTCATACCTCGATTGTGACCTGAAATCCCTTGACCCTCTCTGTCCCTCCCCCCATTCATCTTCCATACTTTGGCTTTCCTAACCTCCATACCTGTCCTTGACCCCTGCTCCTCTATTCTAATAATTTATTTGTTACCACCCTTGCCCACTTCCACAAACTTCCTCTGTCGCAAAATAATTTTCAAGTCCAGATAACAGTAAATAATAATAATAACAGTAATAGAATTTATAGTGCTTTAAGGTTTGCAGAGTGCTTTATAAATATTCCATTTTATCCTCATAACATCTCTAGGAGATAGGTGCTGTCACCTCTTCCCTTCTTCTGAACCTTGCTGCAGCAATTACTCCTCCATCATAATTTTTACTAATCCCTCCCTTTACTTCCTTCTAATCTGTCTACCTATATACTCAAGATATCCCCAATCCTAAAAAATGCCGTTCTTCAACTCTTAACCCAAATCCATCTGGCTCCTCCCTTCCATGGCCAAACTTCTTGGAAAAGCTGCCTAAAATCTATGCCTTTACTTCCCTTCCACCTACTCTCCACTCTGGTCCTCATAACCTAACTTTCATCTTGAACTTTAAATTAAACCTGCTTCCTCAAAGGTCACCAGAGATGTCCTAATAAGCAAATAGAATGGATACTTTTAGCCTTTGTCCTCCTTCATTTCTCTAAAGCATTTGACGTTATTTTATTTTATGCTCTCTTTCCCATTGGCTTCTGACATACTGGCCTATCTCTTGACTTGCTCTTGTCATGTCCTTCCCTATTTCCTCTTCCTCTTCCATCATAAAGTAGATGTTCAAGGTTCTGCCCTGGACACACTTTTCCTCTCTCTCTATCCTGTCTCCTTTGACATTATTCACTCATATCCCTTCTATGCAGCCAACCCACAAATCCATGTCTCCAGTTATGCCCTCTCTTATAAGCTATAAACTTGCATTTCCAGCTACCTATAGAACAGCCCCACCTGTCCAATCAGCATTTCATACTTAATTTGTCCCAAATCCAACTTAATATCTTTCCCAAAAAGTCTGTTTCCCCTGACTTCATTATTTCTGTCAGTGACATTGTAACCCATTCACCCAGACTCCCATAATCAAACTTTGGTTCCTTCCTGTCTTCTCATATCTTATCATTTTCTAAGTCCTATCTAATCTACCTTTGAAATATTTCATACTACCATCCCTCTTCTCTATTCCCACAACCCCGAGTATGACTCATTACTATGCACCTAGACTTGTGCTGTAGCCTCCTTACACCTTCCTCTTTTTATTCTTTTAATCCGTCCTTCATGTTATTTATTTGGTGCAGTTTTTCAAATGGCAATTGCCTGGAATAGGAGTCTCGTTCCATACCTACTTATGTTTCCATTAACATGCAGTCCTAAATAGAGGAGAACCAATGAAAAATATCTATTGGTATTGATCCCATGATGCTTGAACTTAGACTTCTTGCTTTGATTTTTCTTTAGGAGAGGAAGGAAAGTAGCCACAGCAGTATTCTGGTTCCTTTCATCTCTTGTATCTACCTAACCTTGAAGCCACCAGTCACTTCAGCCTCTAGCTTTCACTTCTACTATGGTAGATCTGAGTAATGACTAGGTACCAAAAACAAAATAAAAAATAAGTTTAAATAGTGTCTGTGAGACTAACTTTATCTGGCCTATGTTAATGGTTACTTTGATTTCTCATATTGATTTAATTGTTTCATTTTTGTGATGAATATTCTTATCTAATAGTCTTCCATTTTCTTATTTCATATTAAACAAAAGGATGGAGCAATTTAATTAATTTTCTAATTTGATGATAAGACATAGTATTCATTCCACATTTGCACTGAATAGACACTACTCCATGTGAGCAGGCATTATATAAGATTTACATTCTCTTAAGAAAAGGGTATATTCTCTTAAAGCCCATGCTTGTTTCTTCTTTTTGTAACAACAAACTCATGTCTAACAGGATTTTTCATGTCCTCCGTTACTATGTGTTCATGCAGGAAATAATGAAGAATGAGAAATACAGAGAAGATGTTCAAATAAAAATCAGAGACGTTTCTGAAAAAGAAAACCTTCAAATCACAGACAGCAAGGAGATGCTTGTTGCTTCACCAGTTCAAATTAAAATTAAAGGACATGCTTCAGCTCCTGACTTCGGAAAGAGTGACCCATCAAAAGATCCCACTAGCACTGGTAAAACCTTCCAACCAGGATCCTGGCTGCCTCAAGAAAACAGTAACCAAAATAAATGAACACATTTGCTGTGGGTAAAATCTTTTCAATTAAATGGGTGTGATTATTTCAACAACTAAAAATAAAAGCAGATGTAAAAAACTGATCACTTTGTATTTTCTAGATGTACAGTAGAGCTACATCCCATTAGGTTTAATTGTTCTTTTAAGGAACCATTTTAAAAAAATTGAATTTGATGAAGCCATAAAGTTAGAAACGCATTAAGTACTTGTGGACTTAAATTTTTACTGTGTTTTAATGCATTGATTTAGTTTTGTATAGTCCCCACTAAGTGCCACCCTACTTGAGGGAAATGCCAAAAAAGGGCACATGGATACTCAACAAGTTGTGACTTGTGGTGACCATTCAGAAATCTTCCATAAATATTCTCAAATAGAAACAGTAACAGTGGGTGAAGTAACCCTGGGGCTTGGGGGGGAGGGGAAGATTCCTAAGAGCTGGAAAAAAATAAAAAACTAAACTAGGAACAAAGGACAGTTGATTGTAACAAAAGTAAATTCTGGGTCACATGACCAACAAGATGGCAAACTAGACATATTCTCTGATCCCCACAACCTCTCAAACTTCTCCAAAACAGAAATTTTGTGCCAAAGATAAAGCAACTGCAGCTATCTCCATGGTCTAGGACACCAGAATCCAAAAAAAACAAAAAAAAAAAAGGTTTAAAGAACAAAATAAAACAAAACATCAACTGACATATGCCTGGAGCTCACTCATCACTCCTCTCTCACCTCCCACATTACTAGCAGCAATGCTGCCCTGGCCAACTTGTGAACTGGACACATTGCTTGCAACAAAACTCAACCTCACATCTCACTTCCCCCTTCCCTTTCCAGTGTCGTGGAGATCCTGGATCCAGGCTACAGAATTTTGCTTGGCCTCCACAAATAGCCAGTGCTATGGCAGTGCTCCAGGGGCAGAACCTTACTGGGGCCACAACAGCCAGCTCCACAGTAGGCAGAGATCTGTACTGCAAAAAATCTCTGCAGGAGAGCAGAGGGACATAGAGGAATTGACAAGATGCCTGTCTGGGCTAGAAATAGACCTCTACACTACATCCAATACCTCCTTTCTTACAGAGCCCTGGATAACCACGCCACAGAAACCAATCCCATAGCAGCAGTGCGGCAACATTCTGAACTGCCATGTGAGTCCAGAGAACTGAGAAATAGAAGGAGCAGGACAAGACACTGTGTTTAGGGGGACTGCGTGGCGCTCTACTGAGCTTGAGGCAAAATTTAAAAGAGTTGGAAGATGCTGGACAATGCAAACACTAAAAAATACCACAGAAATTGATGAATAGCTTAAAAGACAGGAAAATGATGAATTACTGATGTCCAAGAGTCTTATCAGAGCCATCTGGGTGCAGTCAAACCAGTGACTAATTAGAAAAAAGGTCACAATCAACACTAAATTAGAGGAAAGGACTAGCAATGGATTATAAGTCTCAAGTTTTCTCTTTTTCAAAATTTCTTTTTATTATTATGAACTTTGCAAACGTCAACATTTCCCTATGTAAATAAGGTCAACTGAACCAACCCCACTTTAAAGTAACTAACAAAATCTTTGATACCTTTATCAGGTGAGAATATCTTTATTGAATCAGTCAATCAAAGGCATTAAACTAATGTAAGCTCTGTGGGTCTTCTATAAAATAGCAAGATAGTTCGATTCTGAGATTCATTCCAAAGTCAAGTCAGAAAAGTACAAATCCAGCCAATAGAGAACCGGGGGGGGTGAGGGAGGAGAGAAGAGAAGAAGAGCATTGGTCTCTTGCCCTTTGATCATAGATGACCTTGGGAACTTCAAAAGGTCACAGAATTTTAATTTCTCTTTGGTGTCCTAGCAATGCCTGTGGAATAGCAATGACTGACTACCATTTCTGCATTGGAAGGAAAGGGCAAAGAAGACACATTGAGGAGAGGTAGCTTCTGAACTATACAAGGAGTCCAGCAGAAAGCTCTGACAAAAAGCTCTAAGGGCAACATTTTGAGGAGTCCAGCAAAAGGACTTCCAGAAGCCACATGTGCTTTAAAGTCAAGCCCACATTCCCCTACTCTATGTATTTTTGTAAAAGAATGTGCCTCTACTTTGGGGGCGATGCATTATGCCAGCTTTGCATCTCTAACAAAAACTTACTTCTTAAAGCTAATTGTCTGAATGACTAATTGTTATCAACTGATATTCAATGGGTGGAAATACATTTTTGGTGCTTGTGAGCCATAGCATTAAAAACCAACCTCAGTCCCTCCAGGTTCCCATACTCTGAGGACCCAATCTGCCAGTGCAAGTAGAGACTGGATAAGTAACTCCAGAAACTGCACTACCCAGTTAAGAACAGAAAAAGAAGGCTGCATATGAAACCATCAATTTCCATTATGGACAGCTTGGTGTTTTTTTTTGTATTTCAAATTTAACTTGGTAATTTCAATACTGCTTTGCTTACTTGTGTCCTCTTATGAACTTCTTTCTACTCTCCTATTTCTTTTTTCTTTTTTTTAGTAATTCTTTAACATTTTTCTTTCCTTCCTTTTTTCAGTCTCACTTATTATTTCTCAATCGAAAATGGTCAAAGGATGTGAACAGGCAGTTTTCCAAGGAAGAAATCTGAGCTATCAATGGCCATATGAAAAAGAAAATGCCACAAATCACTTAAGAATTAGGGAAATGCCATTTAAAGCAACTCTAAGTTTCCACCTCCTACTTTATCAGATTGGCAAAATTGACCAAAAAGGGGGGAAATGACAAATGTTAGAAGGACTATGGGAAAGTAGGCATATTAATTCATTGTTAGTGGAGCTGTGAATTAGTCTAGCCATTCTAGAAAGCAATTTGGAACCATGCCCCAAAAACTGTACATACCTGTATACCCTTTGATCCAGTGAAACCACACTAAGCCTATACCTCAAAGAAAGAGGAAAAGGACCCATATGTACCAACATTTTTGAAGCAGCTCTTTTTGTGGTAGCAAAGAACTGATAATTAAGAGGATGCCCATCAATTGGGGAATGGCTGAACAAATTATGGAATAGGAATGTAATGGAATACTATTGTAGCATAAGAAATGATGAAAGGGTGGCTTCAGAGAGACTTGTTTGAACTGATACAGATGGAAGCAAGCAGAACCAGAAAAACAATTTATACAATAAAATCACTGTAAAAAAACAAACCACTTTGAAAACCACAAGAACTTTATCAAGATAGTGATTGTACAGAGGACTGATTAAAAAAAATCCAGCCTCCTGACTAAAAAGTGATGGACTCAGAGTGCTGAATGAGACTGCACACACACACACACACACACACACACACACACACACACAGAAAAATGTATGTATTTTATATATGTATGTATGTATATATTTGGACATGGTCAACATGGGAATTTTTGCTTAACTATACATACGTGTTTAAAAAAATTATTTTTTTGTTTTCCTTTTTCTTTTTCCCAGTTTTGAAGTGTTGGGAAGGAGAGAAAATTTATTTTTGTTCATTAAAAAATGAAATCTAATTTTAAAAAAAGTATCAATTTTCATTTCCCACTTCCTTCCCTCCACATCAAGCCTTAGCCTTTCGTTTTCGGGGGTTTTTTTGTTTTTTGTTTTTTGGTGAGGCAATTGGGATTAAGTGACTTGCCCAGAGTCACACAGCTAGTGAGTTTTTTGTGTCTGAGACCGGATCTCAGGTCCTCCTGACTCCAAAGTCAGTGCTCTATCCACTGTGCCACCTAGCTGACCCCAAGCCTTAGACTTTCAAAATAAACTTATGACTTCATTCACTCACTGGGACAAAGCACCCATTCCCTCTACAATCATCATCTCCATTGCAGAAGGAAGATGGGGAATAAGGGGATGAGGAGAGGGGAAGAAACTCATCTTAAGTCCAGCATCATCTACTCCTCTCAAGATATTAAAGAAAAGGAAAAAAAAATCCAATAGAACAAGGGGGAGAAGGGGGAGCTTATCTGACAGGCAATGAACAAATCAAAGAAAATCTCTGTCTCTAAAGAAATTCTGCAATAAAAAGGAACCAAAGGGAGAGGGAAAAAAATAATGAATACAGAAATGCAAGCTGAATCAGCACCCTAAGTGATGGAAGAATACCAAAAGATAAAATAAATTAGATAATAAATGCATTCAAGGAAGATTCTAATTCAGAAAAAAGCAAAGAGAGAAATAAAGTAATAACTTAGACTATAAAGTAATTGGAAATTAAAGCAGGGGTTCTTAACCTAGGGTCCATGGACACCCTCCACTCCCAAGGGGTATGTGGATAGATTTTTGTGGGCTTGTGAACCTGGATGAGAAAAGAATTCCATCTTTATTTCCACTAATCTTTTTTCTTTGTAATAGTATATACTTTGTTTTAAATCTATTATTCTGAGAAGGTATTCAAAGACTTCAACAGACTTCTAAAGGGGTTCTTGACACAAAAGAGGTTAAAAACTCCTATTTTGGGGCAGCTTGGTGGTACAGTGGATACAGCACCGGCCCTGGATTCAGGAGGACCTGAGTTCAAATCCAGCCTCAGACACAACACTTACTAGCTGTGTGACCCTGGACAAGTCACTTAACCCCATTGCCTAGCCAAAAATTAAAAAAAAAACCCTCCTATTTAAAGCATAATACTAATAACTGATGTATATGAATCTTAAAAAAAATTACACACAACACCCCTTTGAGATACATAGAGCAAGGATTATTGTTCCCATTTTATAGATGAGAAAATTGAGTCTCAGAGAGATTGTTTCCTATGAGTACACAACTAATAAGTATAAGGGCCAAGATTTTGACCCAGGTCTCCTGACTACAATTCCAGTCTGCTATCCTCTACATGTCCTAGTTATGGTTACATGTCTGGTATGACAGACCATTCAGAGCCCAAGGGTTCAAATAAGCAATATTTTTCATAAAAACATATCCAAAAACCTCCACATCAAAGCATTCCCCAAAGCAGTAAAAAAGCACTCTAGGAAGAAAAAAGTAGATAAAAGCCATTGGAAAGGAGATTAAAGATAGTTGGCAGTGAAGTTATCTGGGATTTCAGGAGTTCTCCACCTCCCTACCCCAAGTCCTAAAACTGAGA